TTGAGGAACAAAAGGTAAAGCCCATAAATGACTCCAGGAGCTCCTATCATTTTTTCCGCAGAAATTACTGTTTGTTTTATGTCGTATTCAGAGCTTCAAATACTGAAATGCAGTTAAAATCTGCTCGGTAACATCCACCTGTCAAAACAGTCTATGTTAAAGGATAATCAACCTCTCTTTTATGTATTTACTACAATTTAATTTGTGTTTAATTTTCACCTCTTTATAGAAATATGTAAACATTAAAAAAAATTAAACATATTGCTTGTACATTATGACAGGTATTAGTATGGCAGGTGATACTGTGTTTGTAAAAACTCTTGGCTTTTCTTTGAAATTTAATTATTATATTTAGAGAATAAAGAACAACATCTTTAGCTATGAGTTTAAGTCAAATATTCTCATATTTCAGCCCCCGGTTTGCCTGCAGGTTTGTGCCCCCTAAGAAGAGTGTGGTCTTCAATTCACACAGCTTCTATTTGTTAACAAAAACGACTGAAAATGTCTCAGTGATTTAGCGGGGAGGGGACGCAGGAAAGAAGTAACTGCTAAACAAAATAAAGCTGGAAGCATCCCCAGACATCTGACATACAACAAATGCTCCACTTGTCCTGTTGTGCGTTTGTAATAGCTGGCTAATTCTCATGTGCAGGCAGACAGGCAGCCACATACTGCTTGACAACATCATCTCCTCTGACAGGCAGATTGTGTTTTCACGTGAGCATGATCGACAACAGATTGCACGGAGCCCAGGCTGTTCTCGTCTGCCCTGGAAATGTGTTTGTTTTTATCTTTTTAGCTTTAGTGAGACACTCTTTTCTTTATCCAAAAAAATCACAACACATTATCAGATGAGCTGTTCTGCATGAGAATGTGTGTGAGTGTGTGTGTGTGTTTGTGTGTGTGAATGTGTGAGTGTAGAACAGAGACACATGCTCTGTAGTGACTGCCAATAGAGGCTTAAGAAACAATCCAAGCAAGATCAATATCAGAAAACAACATTTATGTGTTTGACTTAACATCCACTCTCTTCTCCAAACCTCCTAAAATTGCATTTGTGAGCTTGGAGTACATGTACACACACACACACACACACACAAACACACACACCAGCATTGACATATTTAAATTACATAATTGTTTTGGCAAACTGTTGATTTTTTTCCCCTCTAACATGCTTTGATGACTCTGTTAACCCACACTTACACACACACACACCTCAAAACACAAGTTAAGGATTGAACACTGCAGTAGAATGGAAAAGGAAGGGGGAGATAGGGAGAGAGGGAGGGACAATGTCTAATGAGTTTGGCTGGGAAAGTTTCATATGGCAGGAGAGTAATACTCAAGTCTGCACTAATTAAGCAGAAAATGCTTGGCTCAATAAAACACATGTACCTCCAGTATCTTTAAACCTTACTCTACACTAGCCTCTGTGCAAAAGCTAATGGTAATGTGGCAATGCATATGTTTGAGGAGATGGTGCCATATTTACAATTAGCTGTAAACCCCCCATTCAGTGATCACAGGAGCAAAATATACTGTAAAGCAGGTTTTTCTCTGCTTTGCATTAAATATGTGCACATAGAAAGAGGCTGCTGGTGTGCCCTTATACTAAGTTTATCCCTGTAGACATGTCAGACAGTCCTCTATGAATATGCATGAGCCAGTGTTTGCCTCGTTTAATGATTTTTCACAATTAAAACATATTCAGTCCACCTCCCCCATTTATTCCTCTGTTTCGCAAGGCGATTACACAAACGCACATACAGAACCAACACATATACAATGTGAGACCTTAACATGTATAATGAATACTGAACAAACACAAAAACAAGGTTGTTTTTGGCCAATAAAAGTTATAATTGTAGTTCAGTGGTGTCCATCCTACAGTATTTGTACCAAGAACCAGTAAGCAAGTATTGGGCGGTGCAGATCATTGGAACATGAGTAAATTCTCAAAAAGCAACATTGTTTAGACCTTATGCTGCTAGGATCTGAGTCTAAAAGACATATTATTTTGAAAAATTCAAAATGAAGAAAGTAATTGAAATAATGGATTAATGATTATTTCTTTCAAACACCCATGGATAAGTAAGTATTAAAAGTAAAAAGAAGTACAATAAATATACCCTCAGTGTATTTCAGTGTATCAAACAGTGATGTGGACTGCGGTCAGGCCAGTGTAGTATTTGCAGTGTGACACTGTCTTGTTGGTTGGACATACTGTGGTAGAGACAATGGCACAGACCAAGCCTCCAGTTGATGTACCTTTACCCAAACATTTCAACACTTAATAACACCATATGTTTAAATGTAAAGTTTATAAATGACCAAGTTACAGGTTTTCATTTTTACTGTATTTACTCAAGCTGTTCTGGAATTTTTTTTTTTTTTTGTCTCATGTATCTTACTATATATGCATTGTTTTCATTTCTCTGTCATTTCTCCTCTCAGGTGCCAACCAAACCTTGTGAACAATGAACAGACCTCAATGATTAATTACTGACAGTACAGCGAAGCTGCATACAAGACTGAGAGCAGGCAAGGCAGCTGAAGAACGATCTTTGAGTGTGGTACGTATCCCAAACACAGTGGCAGATTCTATACCACCTTCATGATGGAGCACATTCTCACTGTTTGTCAAACATTCTTATATGTGATGTAATCATGGCCATTTTTGTCGAACTTATGAATGGCCACTGTGTCTAGCCGTCTTTACTCTATCGATTGTTATGGAAGGTCCTGGGGCCAGAGGAAATGCTATTAAAGATTAAAGGGTCAGGTGATGTGAAGGTGGTATCCCGAGTCATCAGACACCAACAGCTTCAGTTACAAGTAGATTAGCCTGCTTGATTTATTTATTAACTGATTTCTAGTCCCACCATCTCCTACCCCAATTGGCCGACTTGGCGTCTTCTTCCACCTCACAGAATCAGAAACAACAGGCATTTACTGCAAACTAAGTTTTGAAAGTGCAAGTGTTTTGTTTTTTCTGTTTTTTTTTTTTTTTTTTTTTTTTTTTTTTTGGTAGAGAATAATCCCAATACAGTAATACGGTATGTTAAGAATGCTTAACATAATTTATAACATAATGTCACTCTAGATGAAGCATCAACTTTCATCTATTAACTTTAAGAATTTTACCATCCAAAACACATAATTATTTATTTCATTTTTTTATGAGGATGGATTTAAGAACACCGCAGTGAGAGCTGATGCTGTACAAGAATATGACAAGCTTCATTCAAGACAGCTATTAAACATTTTTAATGATGCAGCCCCCATATAATGTGCTGATAATATTACAAGTCTTATCAGCCTTAATCTCTGTAAAGGAAAAGAAAAGCTGTTGCGCAGCCTATCTGTCTTATCTCAAGTGGCAAACTTCTCTTCTAATTGTTTTCTTCACACTAATAGAGTGGATGTTTTAAAACCATTGGGTCGGAGGGATAAAGGCTGGTAATTCCTTCATGCTCACTGTCTGTGTCAGTGCTTATCAGAGAGATAGCCTGGTCCTGAGGAATGATTGGCAGCAGGCAGGAGAGAGAGGGTTTGTAATGACTCTGAAGAGAGGCCATCATTAATGTAAGCACTGGGATGAAATGTGCTGATAACTGAAAGTTGGTTTTACCTGGGGTTACAGAACAACTCATACTGTAGGGGTGGAGCTTAACGTCTTCTCTGTTGCACAGACAACTACCATTGTCTTAAAGTGAGTGAGTTTTTGAAAACACATTGTGCACTCTGTCGATTTGGGGCAGTTTCAGACAAAAGATGACCAGAATTATTTGGTCCTGTCTTCGGAACAATGTGCTGAGATACATACATCACATCTGATGCCATAGCTGGGTTTACTACAGCAGACCACAGGACTCTCTCCATGAAGATGATGGTATGTGAATTGGCCTGTTAGAAGAAGCCTGGTAATTTTCAACACAAAGTACAAGTTTTAAAGTCATTGTGTACCGGTTAGAAATATTGTTATAACATACTGAGTACACTGTAGTTTCTACAAAGCCAAAACTATAGCAACAAAGTTGGTTGCACCGGGCCTGGCACAAAATATAATTGCAAATGGTCTGCAACATGAGACCACATTGTTTTCACCTTCCTGTGTTCTTTTAGTAATGTGAAACAACGCATTGTTTATGTTGTTGTTTCACATTTATTTCCAATTGAAACAGAAATAAATTATTTTTTAATAATCTGGAAGGTGGTGAAAACTGTTTTATAAAGAAGAGATAGTCTGAATTAAATAAAAAAAAAATTACATATGACTGTCATTTGTTTTACCTACTAATAATAGTATTACCTTGAACAACAACAAAATGGATGGAAGAAAACATACTGACTTTTGAAAAATCCTTTGGAATGAAAAAAATCAAAGGTATTGTTCAGTGTATTGTTAGCAGTGAACTAATTATTATATATTTCATGGATGAATCCTCAAACTAGAGTTAGGGTTAAAACAATTTAGAATAGCCCTGTTCACTGTGATTGGCTTAAGTTTTCTCGAACAAAAACAAACGAACAATCAAACTGAATCTGAAAATGTTTTCTCTGTAGCTTTTTCAGAACAAACTCGTGTGCAGAAACTTAAACTGCCCTCTTTACTGGTCCAGTCAGAGCACACATTGCCCATCATCTTACTCCAGTGGTCTCCACCTCCACCTCCTCCCCTCTTCTCTCCCCCTCCTCTGAGCAGTTAATTGCGCGTCCACTCTATCGGGACCCGCGCGATAATAACGCATTAAGAGCCGTGCCTCTTTCATTAAAGTCGAGTTGGGAAACGTGAGACCGCCCCCTTTCAGGAG